CAGGTGCCTCGGCTCTCATGCCTGATGCAGACCCTGGAGTGAGGGCTTCTCTACCTGGTCCCACCTCCTTGGGACTAACTGGTCCTGGCATCCAGGCCTACCTGGGGGGTGGGCTGGCAAAAGTTACAGCATCTCTCCTCTCTCTCTGCCCTCTTTCCCGAGATCTGAGCTGTCTCAGCAAAAGCCAGGTGCCCAGCTTTATCTTTATTCTCAGTTTAACTGACACTCCAAAGTGGGCACAGTCATCCTTAGACTTCAGGTTTCCGCAACAACACCCCCAACCTGGGGTGGGCGGCATGAGCTGCAGGGAATGGAACGGGCAGGAGGGACGCGGCTCGTTCTCACCCCACGTCCACTGGCCAAGCAAGGCGCCAGCAGCAGCTGGACATTGTGCCAGGGCCTGCTAGAGCGAAGGACGGGTGGGAAAAGGTTCCAGCATCACCACCTCTGACAGTCACAGCCCTTTCCTTCAGCCGTGAAGAGGGATGATTACGACCTAGGTGGCGCTGACAGGAGCAGACGCCTTTACAAACTTGACCTTGAACTTGCCAAAATTAACAACAAATGATGGTCAATAAAACTCCTGCAGACTCCAGTCCCACAGTCAAGAATCTGCCAAAGTAACTGTGATGCTTCAGAACTTCACTGACCTTGGTATCTGCCGGTGGGGGGCAAGGTCCTGGCTGTAAATTCACGGCATGACCAGCTTAGCTCTTGTTCACCCACAAGCACAACACGATGCGTGAAAATGCCATAGAACTTCACACTATTGTGGAAGTTCAGTGCGTAAGGGATGAAAAGGCTATGCCACTAAAATAATTTACAGCACAGGCGCCTGGGCAGTTTCCCTGCCATACCCATAGAAACCTGCGTGTGCAAACACATACACATGCACACATATGAATGCACAGACACATGCACATACAGTCACACGTATGTATATAAGCACACACAAACACACCCTCATGCACACAATGACACATGCACATAGACACACACATATACACATGAGCACACAACACACACAGACACGTGCACATACACACACATCATGCATGTATAAACACAAGCACACAATGCACATGGACACATACATATACAAAGACACACAAAGACACACACAGATGGATGGACACGTGTGTATGCAAACACGTACAGACACAGGATGTGCGTGTACATCATGCATGTATAAACACAAGCACACAATGCACATGGACACATACATATACACAGACACACAAAGACACACAGATGGATGGACACGTGTGTATGCAAACACGTACAGACACAGGATGTGCGTGTACACACACATGCATATGAACGCACATGCATAATGTCTTTGGTCTACCTAGGGGGACTCAATCCCTCCCCTTTTTTTTCCACTCAAAGCATGACCATGACTCAGATACACCATCGCTTGATTGAAAAATCTGGCAGGTGTATCCACGGAGGACACGGGTGGGCACGTTACCACAGACACAGAGGCGCTCTGCTCCACAGTGCAGGTGCACCAGGCCCGGGCAGGCACACGCCACGTTCAGAACAGGGCATGTGCGTAAGGGAGGAGAGAGTGGAGGAGCCCACAGGTCAGCCTCGGGGGGCTTCCCGCCCCCCTTTCACAGGCCCGAGCACGTCCCATGGCTGAGCTGTCTCCTCTGCAGCTCTGGCCGTGCTCGGTGTCAGGGGTGACGTTTCCTGAGAGCAGGAGGGTGCCCCTCGCCGCCCGATCCCCTCGGTTGCTTTGCATCAGGGTCACAGCCTGTTCTCCCGCTAGGAAGACCTGCCTCGCTCGCTGCTCAGCCACGTGCCTGGAGGCAACCACAGTTGGATTCCTGCTGGGTACGGAGGGGACAGAAAGTCAAAAGCCTCCTAAGAAGTCTTCTAATCTGTTCAAAAGTCACCATAGAGAATCTACACATACATGATTTTTTCCTTGGAGAAATGACATTCCTCACGGTGTCTTAGTCGGCAGATCTGCCACAGAAGCCAAAGCACACGGTGGCTTAAGATCACTGAAGTTTATTCTCACGGTTCCGGAGGCCAGAAGCACAGTCAGGGTGTGGCCGGGCCGTGCTCCCTCCCAGGGCTCCAGACAGGATCCTCCTGCCTTGTCCAGCTCCCGAGGTTGCCGGAAACCCTCGGAGTTCCTGGACCTGCAGCTACAGCGCTCACTCCTGCCTTTGTTCTCACGTGGCGTCTTCCCTCTGGGTGTCTGTGAGTCTCCAAATCGTTTCCTCTTAAGGACACCAGCCATTGCATTTAGGGCCCACCCTAGTCCAGGATAACCTCATCCCAACTAATTCATCCGCAAGACCCTATTTACAAATGAAGCCACACTCACAGGTTCCAGGGGGACATGAATTTTGGGAGGACATTGATCCACCTACAGTGCACAGGGAGACGTGCTGAGATCTGAATAAACACCTGTATCTGTCCCACTTTACTTGGGGTTGTTTCTGTTGTTTTGAACATCTCCTCAAAATTTGGCAGAGTGGAAACTTGAAAGTGGCAGAATATGCACCCAGCAGCTGCAGCTGGGGACGCACCTGCTTCCATCGCAGGACGGCAGCATCTGTGGGGGCCAGCTGCATGGGCAGGACCTGGGGTCAGCACGGGGCTGGGAGGCACAGACACCCATGTGGACAGACACATGGAGTGGCTGTGGTTGTAGAAACAGACGCAGCAGTCACAGACGCAGAGAACCAGTATCTACACAGGAATCAAGGAACTCAGGAGCAAATGAGTCGTATGTTCTCAGTCACTTAAAAGAGAATTTTCTTTTGACTTTCGCATTTATTAATCCAATCAGAGAAGTCTTGAATCCTTTTGTTTTAGGATTTAATAGGCAAAAATTTACTATTAAATATTCCACAAATAAAGCACATGTACAAACACTGACATAATTATTAATTTTCTCTTGAACTATTTTTAAACATTTCTATCCAGCACTTTTATTGAATGCCACTACTACAAGTTATCCTGATGTAGCTTCTAATCAGGCAAATTTTGACTTGGTGTGCTGTGATTTTCTGTGCAACTCTTTGTATTAAATCAAAGCTTCTAACTCACCTGTCATGTTGCAGAAGGCGGGGAAGGGCTGCAGGGGCCCACTGCCATCAGGGTCAACGTGGTAGAGTCCCGACGGGCCACCTCCGTGCTTGTAGGCCTCACACGACGGCTCGTAGAGCGCTGGGGAACGTCAGTCATTCATCAGGACAGAGAGAGCGCAGTGAAGCTCGCAGCCCTTTCACCAAGGTCTGCCTTCTAGTGAACGCTCACCTTCCAGGAGGAAAGGTGACCGTGTCTTAAAAGACAAGACTATGTTTCTAAAGCGATGCATATGGTAATATATCTAACCAGATGGAAGAAAAGAGTGTCGCAATATTTGTATAACACTTTCAAATCCCCAAAGGCAACTGAAGTCACCTAGTCCAAGGGACGGCTTGGTCCCCTGCTGTGTCGGGTCACAAGGAAGCAGACTGTAAGTGTGCACTCAGCAGGGTCATGGGTGCGCCGTGCTGTCTTCTTTTAGTGCCACATGTGACTCGCATGTGAACCTTTATTCTTATGAACCCATCCCAATACCTCTTTCCACCCTCCCACCCGGATTAACAGCCGCGGCTGCTAACTGGGTCCTCACAGTCGGCTGCCGGGTGGTGGCCAAGCCCCCTCCCCTCTGCTCCACCTGCAAACACCCTCAGGACAGTCCACTCAGTGCGAGGTCAACTGTGGCCACAGCTGAGAAACCCTCTCACTTATCTCCTGATTGTTTTCTCAGAGTTCTTGGAATTACAGCTGCTGATAACAGTTAAATAAGAAAAATTAATCCGTCAAAGTATATTTAAGAGGCGTATGCTTTGCGTTGGATTCTGTGCCGGGCAAGAGGGAGAAAAATTACAAAGAGTAGAAGGTGGGCCAGAAGCGATCACCACCACTCCCTGCCCCGAAGCTTCTCCGTGAGACCAAGGGCTGGGGGCCTCGGTCCTGCCCCGCCCCTCCTCCCCAGGACCACACCTCACTCCCTGGAGCAGGATGAGCCTGCCCTGCCTTCCTCCCCTTTGTCAGGTTAAATCACAAAAGAAGTTCAAAGCATCGCACCCAGGCAGCGCCTGCGACCTGGGGCAATGTTGGCCCAGGGAATTTGCAGGGTTTGGAGACAACTGCGGGGGCGGAGACACTACTAGCATCTAGTGGGTGGGGTCCAGGGACGTCTCTAATCACCCTGCAAAGCACTGGATGCTCCCCAATGACAAAGAATTATCTGGGCCCAAAGGTTAGTGGTGCTGAGGTTGAGAAACCCGCTCCAAGGTGCAGAGTGAAGGGTCGGTAGTGGAACCCTCGGTGTGTCACTGGTACAGTGAGGACTGAGCAGCATCCGGGGCCTCCGGCTGGCGTACGGAGCAAACTTGGTGACCACAGAAAGGTTAAGACAGTCCTGGCTTCTACCTAACGGTCACCTCCAGCACCCCATCACGGCACATCAGGGCAGACAGGACACCCTGAAGTCCGAATCCCAGGGACTTGGACCCTCCTGCCCGGGATCCTCCTGAGAACCCATTCGACTTTGCAAACACTGAAACCTTGAGGTGGCCAGGTCCCCACCGTGCACCGTTGCCACACAGCTCAGAAAGAGCCGTGGCCCAGCTCGGAGCCAGAGGTCACGCCAGCCGGGCCGGCCCAGCCTCCCGTTTCTCTTCCACCGTTCGGTTTCTTATGCTCATTTCCCTTTTGTCTGCTCCTTCTTTCCTATGGATTTTTATGTTTTTTCACACACGTGACCCTAAGGGTGAGGGGCGGGGGGTGGGGGGGGCTTACGGCGGGGGCAGGGGGCGCCCACGGAGCCGGTGCTGGAGCAGTCGCAGCGGAGGTCCGTCGAGGTGTGGGAGCATACGCCGTCGTGCTCGCAGTAGTTGGGCAGACACCTGAAGGAAGGAGCAGAGCTGTCTGTTCCCACCTCGGTCACCCTGAACCACGGGTCATTCGGGCTGAAGCTACGTAAATACACGGAGGCCACGTGCCAGCCACTGACACGGGATTCAACATGGCCACAAGGAGTGAGCTGCTCCTACGAGT